TAAATATTAGGATGCCGGAGAAGGATATAGCTAGAGAATCTGCTCCGTATGCACTTGTGTTTATTATATGTTTATGATATCATTTTAGTTTTTATTGTTAAGCTGTCGCATTGAGATCTATATGAAGCTAGCTAGACCCATTTATATTGAAATACAAATTACTATAATCACTATATAGATAGTTATATAGTGAGTTCATGTTTTAAATCTGACTTTTTGAGTTAATTATATCTATTTTATTAGTCATATAACTCATGATTTGTTATCAAATAATATTCAACTACTAGAAACACTTATTTAAATCCCTGTTAGTTGAATCAGTCCTATATAAGTAAAAATATACGGATATAGAAAATTGGGGATGGATTGTACTAGCATTGTAGAGTAACATATACTTCATGCATGATGTCTACATGAAAAAGAGTGACAGAGACTGATTGTAGAAAGGGGACAAGCAGAGTTAATGATTATAAGCTTGAATATAGTTCTAGATTTTTTTCACTAGCACCTATTATCTCCAATTAAGAGAAGAGCACAGTACCTTTGATTGGAGGTTTCAAAATTTTGTGGATTTGTGATAATTGCATTTTCTCAAACAAGATTGTTAATAAAATGCAAGTCCTGATATTACATCACGGACTCAAGGTTAAGGGCATCTATTAGAATAAGGAAGGGATTTTTCTGTTTATGAATATATAGAGTGGAGTATATTTTGAACCAAGAAGAAGAGTCAGCAATAATTTTTTGGCTACATGGTTTTATTCACATAGGATGAGACTCTTAGTCTAATGGCATTATCTACTTAGCGATCATACACAAAATTTGCATAAGATAATGATTTTCTATCTAGTTATCAGGAGTTTGCATTTTTTTCTTGCTCAATTTAATTGACGTTTTCTTTGTGCAAATATATTCATGGTTAGGCTAGTCTAAAGCATCATGGCATCCTTAGACATTGCCTACAATTTGGGGAAGCTGCTCCTGTTACTCTTGGAAGTAATAAGTGTCATGTGAAATTAAATGCAATTTCACGCAACACGAATATGCTTCCTGCGACGGCTTCCAAGCCACCAGGCATTGGGTTGCATTTAAATAGCATTATAAATGCAGTGCCCTTTAGTTGTCCTTCATCTATTGGGGTGAGATTATCAGATGGTTTACAAGGGATGCACTCCAAATCTTCTATAATTTTGCATAAATGCATTTTCAATTCTTTTGCCCATAGTCATAAATTCGAAATTAATATTAAAACTATTTTACCTTCTCTTCTCTCCCTTCTTTTGTAGTATCTTCTAGTTTCAAAAGGTGATTTGATCCTCGCCAACATCATCAATCCATTGCTGTATGGACTTCGAGGAGTGAGAAATGGATTCGGTCTCATAACATCTGGAGTTTTGACAAATAGTTCTAACCTGATCAGCCTGATTTTGACGCCTCTTTGAAGAAGGAAGGTTACAAAAGTGCTTCTGCTAAAGAGAAGGTTGTAAGAAAATGGGGTAGTGATTAGTATTTAATGGATTTACTTGTTTGTAACCCAAAAGGTTTTGTCTTCCCTTGGCATCTGAATAATTAGTTTTGGTTTTCTCTGTGGTTGTCCATAGAATTTAGTTCATGTGCAAAATAATTAGTTTTGGTTTTCTCTGTGGTTGTTTTTCCTTGGCATACTAAAAAAAATGTTATTACAAAAAAAATCGACTTGTTAGCTAAATTAATGGTATCACATTTGTCATTATTATTTTAATTTCAAGTATTTTAGCTACTTAGTTATAATTATTTTATGAATTCTATTAATGTTGTAAAATGCAAATGCCATATATATAAAATGATTTGGTGTAAAAAAAAGTGTATTAGAATAGCGTTTTGAAGAGAGCGTGCTATAATAGCGCTTTGTTAGAAAGTGCTATCAAAATTAAAGCAATTTATCGGTATTTTAATAGCGCTTTGTTTGAAAGTGCTATCGAATATGTGGATTATAATAGCGCTTTCTTTGAAAGTGCTATTAAATATGTGTCTTATAATAGCGCTTTATTTGAAAGCGCTATTAAATATGTGTACTATAATAGCGCTTTGTTTGAAAGTGCTATCAAAATTAAAGCAAATTACTGGTGCTATAATAGCGCTTTTTTTGAAAGTGCTATCAAATATGTGACTTATAATAGCGGTTTTGTAAAAGCGCTATTAAATACAGATCCTATAATAGCGCTTTTGAAAAAGCGCTATTAATTACCAGAACTATAATAGTGCTTTTAAAGCGCTATTAAAAATTTTGTTTTACAATAGCGCCTTGATTAATAGCGCTTTAAAGCGCTATTAAAAAGCAAAAAAAGCGCTATTAAAAAAAAATTTTGTAGTAGTGAAGATGGGGATCAGAATTCAAAGTTTTTCCATGATTCCTTAAAATCTAGTTATCGTTCGAACAGTTTATCCGCAATCAGAGTGGGAGATGTGATTGAGGAAGACCCTGAAGCCATTAAATGCGAAGCTGTGAAGTACTTTAAGGAGAGATACAAGACCAAATCATCGCCCAAGTTTACAATCGACTTCGATCATATTGTTAGCTTCGAGGAGGAAGACAGGTTATGGCTGGAAGTTGATTTTTTCCCTGCAGAAGTCAAAGTTGTTGTTTTCAGCTGTGATGGTAATAAGTGCCCCGGTGCCGATGGGTTCAACTTTAAATTCCTTAAGTCCTGCTGGGAGATAGTGGGCAAGGATTTCTCGAATTGCATTTTGAAATTCTACAAAACTGGTTACCTTTCGAAGACCTTCGCTTCTTCCTTCATCTTGCTTGTCCCAAAGTCTAAAAATCCCCAACATTTCGAAGATTATAGGCATGTTAGCCTTGTCAGCTGTTTTCTGAAGGTTATATCAAAGATGCTCGCGTGCAGACTTAGGAAGGTTATTCATAAAATTATTTTTCCCTCTCAAACCGCTTTTATTCCACAGTGGCAAATTTACGACAGTGTTGTGTTGGCTAACGAGTTGGCAGATTAATTGTTTTATAAATAGTTTAAGGCTTAATAAATATTTTGAATGATGTGGCACAAAATAATACATATCATCTTTATATTCTAAATATTTTAAAAATGATACTTCAATACTTTTTTAATAAAAAATGAGAAAAAAGATCAAAACTGATGATTGCTTGGAATGTTAGGGGACTGAATAACAAGGGTAAGCTTTGATGGAGTATTTGAATAGGCTTCTCTCCAAGATACAACATAATCTTACTTTAACCATCATGCCAAGTGTGAAAAGCTTAAGATCACCAACTTGGATTTTGCTGATGATGTTCTTCTCTTTGCCATGGCTGATTGCAGATCTGTTGAGTTGATGATGGAAGCCCTTGACCTTTTTCCTAAGTCCACTGGTTTGATAGTAATCCTAGAAAATGTAAGGTCTATTTTGGTGGTGTGGATGATGATATCAGGAACCAAATCATAAGCTTGACAGGGTTTGAACAAGGGGCATTTCCCATTAGATACTTGGGGGTTCCTCTATCTAGTAAGAAGTTGAATATTCACCACTACATGAGTCTTATTTATAAGGTGGTTGGAAAAATTAAGCCATTGGAGCATCTAGCTTCTCGTCTATGCATCAAATATGTGTCTTTTGTTATGGTTAACTACTGGATACAGTGCCTCCCCCTCCCCAAGTAGGTGCTATAAAAAATTTGATGCTACCCTAATATCCTTCCTATGGAATGGCAAGTATGAGATTGGGAGGAATAGTCCAATTGCTTGGAAACATGTGTGCAGTCCAAAGAAACATGGCGGCCCCAATATCATTGAATTGAATACTTGGAACAATACTACTATGCTTAAAATTTTATGGAATCTTTGCAGAAAATCTGAAAACATATGGGTGAAATGGGTGCATAGCTATTATGCCAAGGATAGTGACTTAATGGAGATGGTTTCTACTGATAGTCAAAATTGGATCATGAAGGCAATTCTTCATCAACGTGAAAACATGCCCCACTTGTAGGGCCTGTGGCAGCACTTGCTCCGTGGAGATAGATTTGTTTCAAAGAAAGTGTACTTGAGACTTAATTAGGACCGCTGGTATGTCGACTGTCAGTTGGAATCAGTTACTTTATAGCCATGTTGCTAGGCCAAGGGCTATTCTGACTATGTGGCAAGCATGCCATGACAGGCTTCCAACCAAGGCAAGGCTTCATAAAATTGGTATGCAAAATAATGTGAATGTTGTTTCTGTCCAAATGATGAAACCCTCGATCATCTTTTTTTTTGGCTGTCTAGAAACTAGATCAATTTGGAGTAGGATTCTTGAACGGATACAAGCGGCTCGTGTTCCTTTGGATTGGAGGGATGAAATGAATTGGATAATATTTCATGGCACGGGCAAGGGGACCTCGGTGGGACTTCGTGCTCTAGGGCGCCAATTCGCGTGTTTTGTTAGAACAACAGCTGATTTGTTTGGTTGATGGCCGCGAAGAGGGCGGCCGCTGTCGGGTCTGCTCCGGCCGGGACAGGGATGGGTTGGAATGCTGCTGGGCTCCTTGGTCGGAGAACAGTTTAGTGTGTAGCTTCTGCGGACGAAGGAGAGGCAGTCTTGCCGTCCCTCTCGTCGGTCTCCAAAGGTTGGGACGTCTCCATTTGCTTGTCGTCGTTCCCGGAAGGAGCGAGGATGAGGTCGTGAACAACATCGCCGTGGTGTGGGCTAGCCATGATCGCGGAATGTTGGTGAAACTTTGGTTCTCAACTCGGAGGAACGGGGAAGTTTTCGTTTCCCATAGATGGCGCCACTGATCTGACCTGATCAGAAGGGGATCGCCAGCTGCCACGCGTCTTCTACTTACTGCCTGTTCACCGGTAAATATATATATGGAGATATGATACCTATGCTAACTCTACTCTTTGTCCTTACAAACTCTGCCACAAAAGCAAAAACATTACATAATGTATAATGTACTGTATTCATTATATACTCAATTATGCCAAATTTGATTAACAAACTTATTCATAGAAGAGAAAGAGAAACTAACCCCTTTTAAGTATTCCAACAATCTCAGAGATAGCAGCAGCTTCAATCACATTCTTCAAACTATGATCAGGATTACACTGCTCTTTGCCTTTAGATATGTTGATCCTCATCAAGTCATCAGCACTTTTAGGTTGAATATTTGTGAATGCAACGAGATCACCAACCTCGGGTTCATATTTTCCTACGTTGTACACTTCATCAGCAATGTTCTTCAATGTAATTTTATAGAGCAACTCGTGCGGAGGATTGAATTTCTCCGATGTTTTCATTGTCCTAATTTCGCAAAAATAAGCTTGAGGAACACTCAACAAGCTTGAATATAGATCACTATGTGTTTCCTCAATCAATGCAGGAAAGAATGAGTTCATGTAATCATTTGCTGAAGAGAAAGTTTTTGGAATCTTCGGTACCTGTGGGAAATTTAACAGCATTCCAAGTTACTTCACTAGGACATGGAAAATTCTTTCTAAGTAATAGCTACGATAGTATATGGTTGAGAAAATCCATGATTCTGTTTTTGAAGAAATTTGAGTACTTGAAAAGTGAAAAAAGAACCTGGTATGTGAAAAGATTTTCGTTGAGAAGATCGTCAAGAGTCCAAGAGAATACAATATGTATTAAGCTTGCACGACGAAGACATTCCTCCATGGTATGACATGTCTTTTCCATCTTTGTTCTGAGTGTAGGTAGAACTAGAAAGACACTCTTAGATTACAATGGTTGAGCATATTTTATAGTGTAAAATTAATTACTAGTACTCTTTTTGAAATGTTAACCGGTTTCAACGCATGAATGGAATTACGGCGTATTAAGTTTTGTGTGTAGAGGAATTTTTGTAGACCTATTGTGTAGTGTAACATGTGGTTGGATGCCTGCATAAGGGAAAGACTTGCATAATGAAATGTTAACTAAGGCGTGTTTTATGATGCAACAAATTAAGAAACTGGTATCGAACCATTGCTAATGAGTTCGTTGATGAGATTGTTGTAGTACTGTAGTCCCTTCGGATTGACGAGTCCTCTACCATCTGGGGAGAAATAAAAACATTTGCAAAAGTATATAAAAAAAACATAAAAATTCAGTGTTTTTATGGAAAAGTATTAAAGTTGAAGATGAGTAGAAGTACTTGGTATCAATCTGGACCAAGAAATGGAAAATCTATAGGCATCAAGGCCTGTTTCAACCATGAGCTGCACATCTTCCTGCATTAATATTTGTATTGTCTTAACCAACTAGTGCTTGAAATTAACAAATGAATCAGAAAGATAGAAGTTTTGTGTATTGTTTACCTTGTATTTGTGGTACGCGTCGCAGGCTACATCTCCATTTCCACCATGCCCAAACCCTTAAATTGCAATAACAAATCATATTCTAAAACTGTTCAGATGAATGATGAGATGAAACAGGAAGAAAAAGACGGATAACTAAAAACCGAACCAGCAAAGGATTAGTTGTGGTTATTAATGCAGATCTTATAGCAGCAGCACTCCATTCTGGATGTGCGGATTTCAGAAGAGCAGCAACGCCGGAAACATGAGGGCAAGCCATGGATGTTCCTGACATGAAGTTGAAGTCACTTGATAAGAACACGTTTGCGCCGATTCTACCTGATGCTTTACCAGGAACATAAGCAGCGAGAATTCTAGAGCCAGGTGCCATTATGTCAGGCTTTAAAGTCCATGGAAAGCTATGTGAAGGACCTCTTGAAGAGTATTGTGCTGCAGTTGGTGCTGGCTTTATTCCAACATGTGTTTGTTGAAACCTAATACTTGCTGTAAACTCAAATCACAATGCCTCAGTATACGATGTTTGCGGCATGTTGATGTAAAGAGCAATGGAATTGCAACAAGTCATAAAATAATAGCAGGCATGTTATATTAATGCGTCGAAAGAAGAAATCCATCATATTACCAATGTCGATCCCGCCTAATTATGCAAAGCAAGCAAAAGATAGAACCGCAACCATGAATTGTAAATAACAGAGGGAGAAAGTTTACACCTGCTGAGCCAACCGCATTTTGTCATTAATATTTAGATTTAAGCATCCATATCCAATCACGACAGATTGATAACAGAAACAACCTAATACTCACCATCGAATCATAACAAAATACATATTCTATGATCTAGACTCGAAATTGATTTACCATTACCATCTTGTATCGACATTATCACACCATACAACTATGAAATGCAATCCTACGGTTTCAATTTACAACATGCTCAATAACATAGTAATATAGAACGTAAACCCGGATACCGTAATCGAGAACGACGACTTGGATAACAGTAGTACAACAATTGTCATTAATAAGCCACAATGATACCAGCAACAACACCATGTATGGTGTTTACCATATAACATGAACAACACCAAAAGAAATCTGATGATGATGTTACATAATATATCAAAGCCACAAAAATCAGAATATCAATCAATAGCAGGACAGATTCACACCCAAAATCTGAACTAAGAAACGACCGAAATAAAAGTGCCATAAGTTGAATCAAAATAAGATAAAACTACAATCCAAGAGCATCACGAAATCAGGTTGGAAAGCAAATGTACAACAGACTTACAATAACACTAAGTGACTTAATGATGCTCATCACAAGATCAACCAATATGAAACATGAAACAAATTTCACTATGTCTAGACATAGAAGCTTAATGCCTATGCATTTCAAAATAGGAACAAAAACAATTGACAACTCTATGGAATACTAACAGCGACGACAATATAAAACAATCAGTAATAGCTCATAAATTCACCAGGCCGTAGCGGAAATCGATATGTAATAGACAACAGGCCATTTTAACATACCACTACAATATCAAACCAAACAGCATACCAAAATCAGAAAGAGAGCACACAATTGAGACAACATTATAACCATAGAAGTGGCAAATGATATTCAAATTTGAATACAACAATTTAATCACATAACAGTAGCAAGTTTAATGTGAATGAAGTAGCATCAACAAGATCATATCTATAACACAATAACCACTTCAATTTTGTAGTAAAGAAAACCGCCTTGATAATTAACATAAACTTTATCATTCTACAACCCAAACCAAAAAACATATGCGACTGAAGTTGAATTTCACGAGAACAAAGATAGTTAAACCACCAGTTTTACACAATGATCGAAATAGCTACATAAAAAACAATACAACGAACGATTTCAGGGTGTTACCGATGTGCGTAAGTTGATTCTGTTGCCGCTACGATGTCAGATGCAAAAAAATGCAGGTCCTTGCAGCAGGGGCTGAACTGTGTGATATTGTTGCTGCCACTTACGGGGGGCTGTTGTCGTTACGCTAGCAGAGGCTTTGCTGAGGATTTCATAGCAGCCGGTTCAAAGTTGTCTTGAGAATGGCGAATGAAGGTGAGTGCATGGTTGTTGTCCGCTGCTCCAGAGTGTTGCTCAAAGCGAAACCGTTGTAGATACCAGTCGGTGTCGTCGTTGCTGCTTATACTTCGCCGAAAAAAATGAGAGAGAGAAGGGCTAGGGTTGATGGCAAAAAATGTGAATCGAAGTCTTCGGATGCTAGCATGGAGGAATCGAAGTTGATTCGGCCATTTCCAGCATTTTCGGGAATATTTGAATGCTCCATGATGATGTTGCTAGCTATAAACAAAGTAGCAAGGAAGTGATTTGTCTAGTAGCAGAATACATAAGTTGATGATGTTTGCTTTGCATAACCCTTGAATATAAACTGGTCCTGGTCCTGAAGGAACATGATCTCCGCATATCGTCTTCCACATTAAAAGCTTCAATACTGTTTCTGAGACTGATTCTTATGTCCTTGCTTTTGGGTTACAAAATCTCCACGACAAAATGAGATTGCTTTTTCTCCCAGAATCACTCCACTTTGATTGCTCTTCTATTGGACTGCGGGTGTTTCTTTCAACATGCATCCAGAAATCATCAACAGTTTGATTGGCAACTTCTATATCGGACAGCAACTGGTGACTCTGATTTTCAATACTGCCGCCACCATTATTCATATATGCATGTGAAACTGTTTCGTCACAAATAGGCCCCAGGCCACAAAGAAACATATCTGCATCTTGGTACGTATCAAACTCACAGCTTTTGTAATTTATATGAGTATTTTTATGAATTGTTAGGGAATATTTTTATGAACACATCATAGATGCTTGCCACAACACAGAAAGAAAGAGTACCGCGAAAATCCTTATCCATCCAAAAGCCTTGGTGCAGTAGAGTTTATAGATATTAAAGCTAACTTTACCAGTTTCTCGTTCTTCTTCTTTGACAAGTTTAGAACTTCCCTTAGCTGAATTAGGTTGGTCAAGAGAATTACTTTCACCATTGGTTTCTCTGCTGTTGATAGACAAAGAACTTAGATATCATATGCTTATTTGAATTTTCACCAGGCATGGCTGCGCCTTGTTCTACAACCATTCCAAAAGCTGATGGGACACTTTTACCATGTCTTTCTATATCTTCTTCAGCAAATGACCCTGAATTTAACAGAATTGACTCATTTAGCACTGATATAATTTGGCCAAAGAATTATAAAATTGTTTTGCAATATCTTAATGCTTACGCAATTTTTGGGCAATTGAAGCAGCCTCGGCAACATGGCTATCATCAGAAAAAAGAGGAGAAAGTTCCATCAGATCACCAGGGCTGCTATTGAACTCCATTAAATACTGTAGAAATTAATCAACCATAAAAATCACCACAAACAATCCATATTTCACATTGTAAACAAGGTCATTCAATAAAACTCCATCGTGCGACAACGCACCACTTTCTGTCGTATAAAAAAACAACATTCAACCATCCGAACTCATCAAACCTAACCTGTTTCCAATAACCTTATCCCAATTCTGCATAAAGAGCATAAACACAATCGTAAACGAGTTGTGCCACCAAATCCCAATTCTGTACATGGAAACAAACAACGAACTACAATTACAATTAAGGAACTTTCAGCAATTATTACATACAAAAACAGAAATATAAACCTCAAAATTGACAAGGCAGCAGTCCCTCATCAGATGAAGTTGTGATACCTTAGGTTTTATGTATCTCACATTCACTTTCTCTATTATGGAATCTATTAAGTTATCATTCATTATTGATGAATAGAACAAACGCCTCTTGTCATGATAATCACCTGCATCTTTGACAACCTGAAATAAAATCAGAAGCAATAATTACAATGACATACATTTTAACATAAGTAAATAAATATCATGAAATACTCGGTACTCACTGTATCTTGAATTCTGTTAAACCTAACCTGAAGAACAACAAACCTCCCTTCGACCCACCTTACTCCGCCGCACGCCGCTATCAACATCAGAAACCCATCGAAACCGTTAAACACCGGAAACATCCCTCCGTTAACATCAAAATAGAACCGGACCTAAACCCCTCTTTTAACCCTAACTTCAACATCCAAAAATATTCAACACAGAATCCACATTCCATCTCTCACCATTAACAGAACCACACACAAAACGCCGGAAAACTCCTTCAAAACCTCCATCGGAACCCCTTCCAGAAACCTTCACCTCCGACCGTTAATCCATCCCTCACTTCAAACTGGCTTCAAACCCATTTCATCCGTAAATCCAACTTCAAAACACCCCAAAAACCAGAACCAAAAGTGGAAGAGAGATTCA